GCATTGTGTGAAAAAAAATTGGTGTTTTCCCAGTATCTTAATGCTGAGAATTGCATCTTTCTGTTCTCATTACCCCATCTACACTTTTCTTCCCTTTCTTATAGTAGAGGATGGTCACAATATATTTTAGACCATTCATATGTTGACTGGTGTTGAAGTTTTTAAGTAATAAGAGACAGCGTGCCTTAGTTATTAATAATTTGTGACATGAGCATCATGATTCCTTGTATGTCTTCCTTTTACTCTTTTTTTTTTTACTTTCATCAATTATGTTCATGTTGTGTTTGACACCTTCAAATTTGCAGATAGTAAATTGGAGAAATTATTTAAAATTTCCTGAAGAAGTTAAACTTTCAGCAGAGGCCAAGGATCTTATTAGTAGACTCCTTTGTAATGTTGAGCAAAGGCTTGGAACGAAAGGGGCTGATGAAATAAAGGTGGCGTGGTGTATTATTTTCAGAATTGTATAGTTTACTTTGGGTTACAGTTGACATAATTGGCTGATTTGTTATTCCCAGGCTCACCCATGGTTCAAAGGCATTGAATGGGACAAATTGTACCAAATGAAAGCTGCTTTTATTCCTGAGGTTAACGATGAACTAGATACTCAAAATTTTGAGAAGTTTGAAGAGGTATATTATACATGTTTATTTTCATAGGTATAGATGTGGTTTTTATCTGTCGGTACTAACCTCCTGCTGCTTAATTTACTATTGATGTGTAGGTTGACAACCAAACTCAACCTTCCTCAAAATCAGGCCCATGGAGAAAGGTTGGTTCTAATTATTATTGAAATTTTGAAAATTGTTAGTGTATTATAGCTGTGGTCATTGTGGTGATGTTTTGAATTGACACTATTTACTACGTGGACTTTCAGTATCCCAGTTCTTCTTCTTTGAAGATTAATTAAGATGTGAGATAATGGGTTGTGTAAATAATAAAACTGCTGCAATACGCTCGTAACCTATGTGTGTCTTTTCAGATTTATCTATCTGGTGGTTTGTCTATTATTTTTCAGTGTTTATCATCCCCAGATAGCACCATAGTGTCTAAATCTAAAAATGCTTCTTGTCGGTGTCTAACTCTACAAATGCCACAAAAGCCGAGTGATTGCTATTTTAGATATTATAATGCAAACTAAATAAATTATACTGCACATATAAACACAATTACGAACAATTCAAAGAAAATTACAAGCCCAAATATGTCTAAACAATGTCTTAACTGGATATCTAACATGAAGCCCCTCATTGTTGTCCACTTCAATTTGGATTAATTGGCCCAACTTGGGTTCCCCTTCCATATTTTTTTCTTGAGATTGAATATGTGGATCACCTCTTGTATGAAGCCTCCTTTGCCTTAGTCATATGTCCTCCTAACACAATTAAAGGATCGTCCTTCTGAGCTTTCCTCTTTTCTCTTGATGGCCTTCCTCTTGTCTAAGGTCTTTTGATAGTTTGACTAACTTTCATTTGATTGAATAGTTTTCTTTGGATTGCTTCTGTTGTTATGCTACTGGCAAGCTATCAATTGAACCCCTATGTTTGCAGATGGAAAAATTTGCTTTAGATGATGACATTGGGATTTTATCCAAATTTTGGTTATAGTAACTCTAAATACAAATGCATCTTTATTTAAATTCATTGATGACTAGTGTTGATGAGGAATGTTCAAGTCTGGATTTGTAACTTGACATGTTATTTTCTGCAGATGCTGTCGTCTAAAGATGTTAACTTTGTTGGGTACACATATAAGAACTTTGAAATTGTGAATGATGATCAACTACCTGAAATTGGTAAGTACATTTTCATTTGTGTAACATATTTTGTTTATGCTTTGTTTAAACCCTTTTGTCTCATTTTCCTAATTTTGCGTTTTATAATAATAAGAATTTTGTCTCATTTTCATATTTTGCGTTTTATAATAATAAGAAAGTTCCAAAGTTCCTCTTTAAGATATTGCTTCTAATATCTAATATTTTTTTTACTCGATGTGAATCTAATGGAAGGTTTTGTGCCCTATCAATTTTATTGTATTTAACTTTGTCTAATTGAGCTTTTTATTGTGGGGACACAAATGAAGTGTTTAGCGCTAGGGTTTTATCGAGTAATGTTCTTTGATAAACATACACTTCTGCTGTGACTCAGTTTTAACATTCGATATTGTACAATACTTTGTATAATTTGTGCAAACATTTTACCTTCTAATAATTCATGTACTGGACTCTACTTTTTAAGTTTTATCAACAGTCGTCAGCCCTTTTAAACCCATTTGATTGTGTCCTTTAAAGCAACAAACCTGTGGGGAAAAAATGGTGCATCTTACTGAAGAAAGAAACTATATATATATATATATATATATATCATGTTAATGCTACCACTTGCAAAATTCTTGTTGATACATCCAATTGACTATAATTTCAATAAAATGTGATTTTATTGAAGACCATGTTGCAGAACCTTGATGCTTACAATAGCTATGCATTTCTTGTTTTCATTACTCCCGTCACGTGCCAAGTTTATTGTTCTTTTCCAAATTGATTCATCATACACTAATCTTCACAAACAATATGGATGTGTTCAGCTGAATTGAAGAAGAAGAGCACAAAAACTAAGCGACCATCTATCAAGACCCTATTTGGTAAGCATGTGCCTGTTGTTTTATGCCTTTGACCACTATATTATGTTGGTTTATTTGAGATCATTCACTTCACTTATAAGTAGTAATGCTGTGATAGCAAATACCTCCATCGTAGAACTATGCATCCTTCTTCATGACATTATGGCGTGGTTTCTCACACCCCTGAAATTTTACCATATTGAACCTGTTTTCAGGTGATAATTTAAAAGTTATGTGAGTGATAGTAAACTACCGATATTTGTGTTAATGAGGTTATCTCAAGTAATAGATCAGCAATTTATGGAAAAACATTCAAATATAAGTTATATTTGCTCAAGGCAACAATAATCGAATTTGATCCTGGATCAGGGAAAAAGAGTGCAGAATATTGAAATTGGAAAACCATGTTGTTTAGTAGAATAAATTTATGTTACTATTGATGTTGAACAATTAAAGTTCATGAGCAAAGGGAAAAAATGCCTTCCCTTTTGCATATAATAGAGATAACAGCTATTTAAACATTGAGGCTTAAAAGCTTGAAAGTTTTAACTGTCTTGTGGTTATTAAGTTGAGCTAATCACTTGCTGCAGATGATGAATCAGCAACGGTTGCTAATCAACCTGCCCAGGGGAGCTTCTTAAAACTCTTACCTACTCAACGTGAAGTTCCAGTGAAGAATGAATCTCAATGATCTGAGTTAGTATATTTTGCAGGGCTTTTACATGGCCATTGAGGTATGACCAGATGCCAGAGTTGAATACTGATTGTTTTAGTCTTTCCCACATTCTTTTGTTAGTTTGGCGTGGATAGTTATGGGAGCAAAGGCTCTGAAACTTTGTCGTTTTGGATAGCTGGGTTTTGGGTTGATTATATTTGTCTGTAGAAAAAAAGTCTTGAAAGGTATATATTCTTTACATTTTTGGTTGGTGTTGTATTCTTTTGTTCACCATTTATGAAGCTGCAATGTATTGAGAATCCAAGTTATTTCTTGTAATTAAGTTACTGCTGACGTGCTGACAAGAAAGTGCAATTCTCACATTCTTTTACTATCATGTAGAAATTCATTACTTTCCAAGGTAACATTTTCGTTTGAACCTCACTTCAAAAGTTCTAACCTTTATATCTTTGTGCTCATTTTTTCTTCATTTCACAATTTCTTTTATGGGCTTGGGAGGGGGAAGGGGAACACCCTACATAACCTATTTTTTCAATATTAGATAATGCTTGAATATCCACATTCATTCCTTATTTATTGTTTCTTCAAGATAAAATAGTCCTTGCAATAGATTGGGTTGGTATCACCAATTTTAAATGCAAATGCAAATGAGGTGATGAACTAACCACGTAACTTATCTAGCAAAATGAACATACATTCCTCCTGAAACATATACTCCTCCACAACCCATAATGAGTGGCATCTAGCCAAGTCAATCTTATCTGTTATCTCAGTCCATTCGTAAATAAATTCATTCAATTCTTCAATTATGTAAATAAAATTTTCAGCATTTGGTGATAAATTGTGACATCCATCACATCAAAAAGTCATTTGATACACAAGAAAACATTGAGGCTTTGAGATCTTGGTTATGTTTATTGTCATATGTCATCAGAGAAAAGACGGAAGAAACTGCCAAAAACTTGTGATATTGGCTTGAAATGGGAAGGGAGAGAGTTTCAAGTTTCTAAAACAATACTACTTCCTCGACTTATTATAAGACACCCTTAACTAAATAAATTTTATAGATTTCTAAAAAATTATATTGTTTTACCTATTTTTATAGTATTTATTTCAAAAATCTTACTAATGCTTTCAGACATCGGTGTAATAATATTTCACGTAAACTAAAGCACAACTTATAACTCTCTTCCATAAAGACAAGCTCCAAAGCATATATAAAAAGCTATTATTAGAGACAAATACAAAAGTGACAAGTTACTTCTCTTATAAATTTAATTATTTTTATATTTGCATTCGACAAATTTTCTTTTTTTCCTGAATTTAACAAACAAATTAGTTTGATTTAATGAACTTTTGTACACAATCAAAATGCAACACGCATTTTCTATCACATAGGTAGGCTCCAACAAACTTTTAACCATTTATAAGTAAATTTAAGATAAATCTAAATAAACTATAAATCTCACTTTTTCAAAAGCATAAATAAACTCTTCACTTGAGTGTCCGACTTTTATTACTGACTAATTTTTACAAAAATATATGGTTGATTATTTTAAGTGGATAGTCTGCTTCAATTAATCACATTTTATTTTCATGGATTGAAAATTAAAACAAATTATTTATTTTGGTGGTGTAAAATAATTTATTTATTTAAATGAATAAAACATTTATGTAGTATCTATAAATAATGTTGTCACTGGCGTTAGTTTGGACAGGCGTCCATTTTCTTCCTCCTCCAGCCTCACATTAGCTATTCTTTCTATGTTCTCTCTATCTCTCATATCACTTTCTTTTCTTTTCTTTTCTTTTTTCCGAATCTGAAATTTTTCCTACAAAATCTACTTCCTGTCCTCAAAGACAGATCCGAAGGTGGATGCCAAATCTATCACCCCTATTTACCCGAGAATATCGTACCAATTAGATTCCTCTTCCTTCTACATTACTGCATTTTTTCACACTATTAGTCGCAATAGAACATAATTTAGTTTATCTACTCACTGCTAGTTCGTTTTTTTTTCCCTATCCTTTTCGCCATTCGATCTCTTTTCGTCGTAGAAGAGGAGAAGGGGTTTCTTTGAGCGACCCCACAATCGCAGTGGGTGTTTTGTAGATTCTAGTTCCTGATCTTACTTCCGTTGATCAAAAGTTTTTTCTTATGATTTTTACGGTACTGGGATTAGCATAGCCTGAATTTTTGAGTTATAAATATAGTTTCGGATCTTTGGGTTACTGGCAAATCTTGTTGGATCTGAGATTGTGCTGTAAATAATGATCAATCGTTGATGAGATACTGGGAATAGGCAAATTTTTTTGTTTGAGTTGTGTAGTAGAGTGCTTTTGTAACTTAACAAGGATCGGGAGATTGGGTTTGTATCATGGATCATGTTATTGGTGGAAAGTTCAAGCTTGGTAGGAAGATTGGGAGTGGATCGTTTGGCGAGCTTTACCTAGGTTAGTATACAGAGAATTTTGTTTTTGTATCATTAGTATTTGGATTTAACATCTTTCTTGATCTTCTGGTATTTTTGTGTTTTTTCAGGTGTTAATGTACAAAGTGGGGAGGAAGTCGCTGTTAAGCTAGTGAGTGCAATTTTTTGAGTTCTATTGGGTCTTTGATTGATATTTTTATTTTTATAATATTTGTTTTTCATAGAACATAGATCAATGTTTTTTGTTGTTGAACTGAAGTAATTGATATGCTTTTGTTTGCTGGTGGCTTAACCGTCAGCTGAGTCATAGGGCAATATTTGCGGGTTTTGTTATTTGTGCATGCTTCTGTTGCCTTGTGTTACATGAGAAGTTAGCTTTATAAGAAAGGGGTTTTAGGATAACTATTGTTGATCGGAAATTTTAAAGGGGATTAGCAGATTCCTCCGTGGCATTTGGCAGCCATGAAAAATACAGTGTTATAACAATACACTGATGGGTCATATGCTTTTCAGTAGGTATACCACTGATCAAAGACTGTTTCAACACGTGTATGTAATTTTCCAAGGTCAACTGCCTAAAATATGTCTTAAATGATTATCATGCTGTATTTTTATATATTGGCAAGTGGGAAAGCATAACAAATATTGCTGTCTAAGATTTGATTTACATACTTTGTTTGACACGCTGTTTCATGCTCCTCTATTAATGGATGTTTATTTGGACCCCAATTCTCTTGTTTTAACAGGAATCTGTGAAGACCAAGCATCCCCAGCTTCACTATGAGTCTAAATTGTATATGCTTCTCCAAGGGGGAAGTAAGTTTTCATCCTTTCACCATTTTTTTCCAATCTTTACTTTATCAACTTCTTTTCTTGCAGGCTAGACTTGCATTTCTTTAGTTTACTGTCATGAAATGAAATTAGGCTATAAGCTCTTTAATTTTTTTTTTGAAGCTGGTATACCCCATCTAAAATGGTTTGGAATTGAGGGTGACTACAATGTCATGGCTATTGACCTCCTTGGGCCTAGTCTTGAAGACTTGTTTAACTATTGTAATAGGAAATTATCTCTGAAAACAGTTCTGATGCTGGCAGATCAGCTAGTAAGCATGGCTTTAATTTCAACAAAGTTATACTTTGGGCAGAAAGCTGCTATATTTTTACTCTTTTCCTCTATTTGGTTCACCTAGATAAACAGAGTTGAGTACATGCACTCCCGGGGTTTTCTGCATCGAGATATAAAGCCTGACAACTTTTTAATGGGTTTAGGCCGGAAGGCAAATCAGGTATTTTTGTCTATACCACATTTATTTTAATTAAGTCTTGTCCTGTTGTGTGTTTATGCATGGCATCCCTCCTGTATTATCAAGTAGTTTCAGTTATGATTTAATATTATGATTAAATTGTTTTCACACTATGGATATACGGAGACTTCAATGTTGCTTTAAATTTGTAGCGATCTCGTGTAGTAGCCATTGGATATGAAATTTATTATTCAGAACTTTAATGCTGTAAGTGTAAACAAGCTTACCTTACTTTATATGTTTATGATAGTTATTTGACAAAAACTTGATCACAACTTGTGACGAGAAATAAAATTTTATTACCCTGAATCTCGATTTTAATGAAATAGAATGACAAAGAGAGGATGAAGAATACAGAGCGGAAAATATACTTCTACCCCTGCATTGGAGAGACATGCACTCTCACAAGCCAAATCCTTTCACAAGACGCGTCTACTAACTTTCCCTGCTTCCTGCTTCATATTTATTATCTTCTTCCCTCCTGGCTGTTACAATTAATTGTCTATTTGAGCAAACAGCATTTATTCTCTTTTGATTCTGACTTATACAATTAATTGTCTATTGGGTTGTAACGACTGCTGCTCACTCCTTAATATTGTAATATCTGTTCTCTGCCTTATTTCTCCTACTATAAACCTTCTCTAGGGAAGTTTTCCTACTTGTTCAATGCATTTTTTTATTCCAGTATTTCTATTCTTTGCGAGGCCATAGTTAGAATAAGTTGATTTCTCTTCTTCTGAATGATGCTGTTCAGAATGCATTGTTTTGTTCAGTATTTCTAGTTGTTTGATATTCTTATTTCTAATTTTGAGCAAAATATTTTGATCAAGGTTTTTAACATTTTTTTACACTTCAACGCAAGACCCTTTAGTCTTTCTACCTTGTCTTCATTAAAGTTTTCTCCTCCCCCCATTTTCACAAATCTCCATGGCTTCACAAGAATTAGTTATTCCTCCAAGATTGTGGTTTTAATCCTTAGCTACACTCTGTTACTTCTGGACTGTATGTTTTGGTAAATAGTTGAACAAACCAGTTCAGCTATGGTGTTGCTAATCCCTTATGAGCTTTGTATATTGGTTACTGTTACCCTTCTCCTATGAAAACTCGTTTTCAAATATTTAAGATTTGTTGTATAGACCTTTGAATTGGAAACAACGTACATTCGAAATAATTGAACTGTATAACATTATAGCTTGGTTGCTAAATCTGTTAATTGGAGCTCTCTTTAACTTTCTGTAAACCATGGCATGATTTTGCAACTAAACCTTTGGTTCTCTTATTTTTATTTTTATTTCTTTTATACGTATTTTTTTCAGTTTATGTTTGATTTTAGTTTCACTCTACTGCTCCCTCTCTTGTTGTGCCTAATTAATTTTTTTTAATAATTTAATGCTTTATAAGACGAAGTTGTGTTCCTGGTACTGTATAAAACCAAACTACTCACTATTCCAGTTTACTTAAGGTTGGACTATTATCAATCTCGTAAATTATGAAGGCTTCCAAACAAATTCAGTCCCTAACAGTATCATATAAACTCAGTCTGTAAAGAAAAGGGAGGTTAATTTACAATGAATCTTTGAATTTATTTTCTGCCAGATAGGTGTCATGCATTAAATAACTAAGTTGGTTTTGGTTAATGTTCTTTCTTTCTGTTTTTTTTCTGTTTTTTTTTTATAATTTGAAGGTATACATAATTGATTATGGTCTTGCAAAAAAGTACCGGGACCTTCAAACACATAAGCATATACCATACAGGTAATAATTTCGAGATTTTGTTTGGGCAGGCTCTGCAGCTTGTTTTCATTTCATCTCATCCCTTCAATATATATACATAGCAAACCCAATACAATATGTACTACGTATACCTCAATAATTCAGATCCACAACTAGTTATTCTAAAGATACATCGTATAAGTGTTCTGTCATATAGCTGTGGTGCTTAGTAGGGATTAAGCTGATGGGTGGAATTTGAGTTTTAGACATTACTTTTCTTTTGTGAATGGTCATTATACTTTATTTTTTTCAGGGAAAACAAAAACCTCACTGGAACTGCTCGTTATGCAAGTGTTAATACTCATTTGGGAGTTGGTGAGTGAGGTTATTTATTGTGGGCTTGCTGCGTGTAGCTTCTAATCAATAAATTTTTCTTAAGCTTTTTAAAGTCAAAATGGATATAAGTTTATAACAATCTTGTAATAATTTGTGCAGAGCAAAGCAGAAGAGATGATCTAGAATCTCTTGGTTATGTGCTCATGTACTTTTTGAGAGGAAGGTCAGTTGAAATACTGTTTTCTTTTTTTTCTCTGCAGTAATCTTTGTTATATTTTAACATTTTTGGCTTTTGTGTTCCAGTCTCCCGTGGCAAGGCTTGAAAGCTGGCACTAAAAAGCAAAAGTATGACAAGATAAGTGAAAAGAAGATGCTTACTCCAATAGAGGTGTTGTTATTATTTGTTCAGAGGCAGTTTTTATGTGAATTTTCTAACAATTAGAAAATTTGGTGTTTATTTATATTAGGTTGATTAATGTTTTTTGATGACTTAATCATCAGTAGAATTTGTTCAGTGCTGGCATTTTTTGGGAATATTTTTCTTTAACCAAGTAGAATTGGTTGTGCAATTAATTAATTTTTTCTTTTATATTGTCTGTTGCAAAGAATTTATTGTGTGGGTTTCTGAGACAGGTCTTATGCAAGTCCTATCCATCGGAATTCACATCATACTTCCACTATTGCCGATCATTGCGGTTTGAAGATAAGCCCGATTACTCTTATCTTAAGAGACTCTTTCGAGACCTATTCATCCGAGAAGGTTAACTTTGCACAAATAACCTTTGATGTTTCCTTGTGAGTAATAATTTTCTAAGACTTTGAAGCTCTTGCTTTCTCAGGGTATCAGTTTGACTATGTATTTGATTGGACAATGTTGAAGTATCCACAAATTGGATCCAGCTCTAGAGCTCGAGTTAGTTCTTCTTAGCTAGCGTAGTATCATTATTTTTCTAGCAGAAGTTAAAGTTCTTTTTAATCATTTGTTTGCCACATCTTCAACAGCCTAGTGGGAAACCAGTCATAAACCCAGGGCAATCAGGAGAACGACCTTCAGGTTTCATCTGTCTACAGTTTTTCCAGTAGCCTGTTGTTACTTGTGTTCATAGTCCTTAAAATTTTATTTAGTATTCTGCATGTTTATGAGCTTTTATTCTCATCATATGTTTGAAATTGATTATTTTGTCCTGTTCAAAATATTTCTCTGTACATTGTGCATGACCGAGAAGTGCTTTCATCAACTAATGACTAAGACTTGTATTCCAGTTATACCAGAGATTCGAGATAGATTCTCAGGTGCAGTTGAGGCATTTGCGAGGAGGAATGGCTCTGGACTTGGTCTACACGGTGATCATTCTAGGCATAAGTCTTCTGACGATGCGCCTTCTTCGTCTAAAGATGTGGTTAGTATCTTCTTAGTCATCATTTTCTGTGTGTATATGATATGAATTGGTTACCTTCAAACTTTTACGGGACTCTTATACTTAGTCCCGTTATCCTCTGCAGCAAGCTGATCCTGAGAGGCCTCGGAGTTCTTCTCGTAATGGCAGTTCTTCAAAGAAGCTTGTCTTGTCAAGCAGACCAAGCTCTTCCGGTGAGCCCAGTGAAAGCCGTGTTAGCCGACTGGTCTCAAGCAGTGGCAGACTATCAACAACTCAGAGACTTCAACCTAGTTCTGAGTCTAAAACATCTCTAACTCGGACTTCGGGGACAAGACTTGGCCGTGATGATGCCCTCAGGAGCTTTGAACTCCTGTCACTTAGCACAGGGAAAAGGAAATGAAGAACTTTGTGTCGATGGTCTTAGTTCTTCTGCGCTGAAAGTTTCCTTTGAGATGTCGACACATGTTAATTGCTCTGTATATTTCCATCCAATGCTGAGGCTAAAGCTCTCCCAAACTTCTTCACGAAGATTTGGCAGACTCTTCTTCTACCTCTTCAGATGTTCTTCCATGATTATTTCAGCATGGACCCATTCATGAAGAGATGCTATGTTACTTAAGGAATTTGTTAATATATGGCTACTTGTAAGTTGTAATAAATTCGTTCTCTATTTATCTGTAAAATGAATGAAAAAGAATCTGCAGAAGTGCTTTTGGAACTTTTAGAACTTTCTATTCATATTTCGAACCCAGAGCATTTGAGGAATGACATTATTGGTTTCAATTATGAATACAAGAATGAAAATACCTTGGGAAAATTTAGCCAATATCCAATTATGCATTGATATCGGTAAGAATTAAATTCATAGCATGTTACACTAAAGGTGGTCCCAGTATTGAGACCTTGTTCACTTGAGTGGATTTGAGAGAGAGTAATTGAGGGGATTTGAGAGGATTTGAAAATAAATTTTTTTGTTGTTTATTTGAGTCAATTTGGAGGTAAGTGAGAATGAATTTGGAAGTAAAGATTGTGACAATTAGTGTAGGATTAGATTGACGTGACAGATTAAAAAAATTTACTTCCAAATCCAATCTCATTTACCTCCAAATTCATTCAAATAATCAACAAAAAAAATTATTTTCAAATCCCCTCAATTACTCTCCCTCAAATCCACTCAAGTGAACGAGGCCTGAGTCTTGTCTTGGTCCATGGGAATGACAGTCTGAAAATGAAAAAAAGGAATGGTAATTATTTCAGATCAATTTTGGTTCTACAATAATATATATGTATTATATGAATAAAAGATTAACTATTTTACACTAAATTTTAATACAACTTTGTTTTGAACAATATTTTTAAAGTATAATTTATTTTACTTAATTATTATTTCCTTAAAAATCAATTATGTAAAATTAAAACTGTATAGGTTGATCAAAAACAGCAGAAAATCCAAACATAATATATATATAGTAAGAAACTATAATTAAAAATCCATGGCATACAATCAATGTAACTAGGTTGACTGCGTGAAAGTTTGAGCCATCCAATAGAGGGAAAAGTAAGAGTATAAAAAAAAATTAGAAAATATCTGTCTGAAGTCCAACTAAATTACTAAGAGAGAGAGAGAGAAAAGCAAGTCAGGAAGTACTATTGTATGAAAAAAATAAAATGCATTACAAATATCTGCATGCTTTTGTCATCCCAATTCTCATGAGACCATTATATTGTTTATTTTAAGTTTAAATTGATAAATAATATAAAAGTCATAGTTAAAATATTATTTACTTTTTGATTTGAAGATGTATTGTTTAAGAAAGTCGAAAAGTATTGAAAGTGTGAAAAAAGAGATTCAAATCACGAAAAATAAAATAAAAGTTGGATGCTAAAATTTTTGGTGTGAAGAAAGTAAATATAATAATAATATTTTTTTTAATTTATTGCATATAAAGAATAATAAAATGTATTAAAATATATTTTAATTTATTAAATTAAACTAATAACATCATTCATAATTTTCTTTTTTTCACTTTCTCTTAATTCAAACAATCTCACTTTTATTTCATCTTTTTTCTTAGATTTACCTTTCTCAAACTAATCATTCAATTCAAGCATAAGTTAAAAAACACAAAATAATGTGAATAAAAATAACTTTTATCTCACTTTATATATTGACAGGAGTTTAAGAATCAAAATCAAATTTTAAATTGATATTATTATCATGTTAAACATAGCATACTACTAACCTATTATAATCTTATCTTAAGTTTGTTTTTATCTTTTAACCTTTTGTTAATTCACTATTTAACTTTAAGGTGTACAAAATATTAAAAGTTTCACTGTCATTTTATCATTATTGAAACACTCAAACATAAAAGATAAGTCATAAAATGTCAATTAAAGAAGGACAAAAGAAGTAACATTTTTTAAAGATAATTATAATGTAGTAAGAAACAAGACTTAAAAGTAGAACTCTTTAAACATTTTTAATTCTTAAACTAAAATGAAATTTTTTTCATTGATAATAAATGTGAACTTTAATTAAAGTCAAACACTGAAAATATTTAGATATTTAAGAAAGCTAATTTCATTACTTATAATTAGATTGTTATATTAAAATTTTATTTTTGAATATTAATGCTATTTTTTCATATTATAGGCAAATTATCTTAATTTTTTACATTTTCATCTCAAAACCCCGTTGAAACTAAACCTGTAAAATAAAATAGTTTTCTCTATTTTCCCACCCGAAAAAAAATTCAAAATTATTCTGGCAGGTAAAAGAAAGGTTTGGTAATCAGCAATCACTCACTCACTCGCTCTCTCTCGACAGTTTCAGTTGGTACAGTGCGTGCACAGAACACGGACACAACAGATAAATACAACTCTACTGTTTTATTTTACCTCTTTTCATTTGTGTTTTCTTTTGTTTTCTCATTCATCTCTACCGTTTCGTTTTGTTTTCTTTGCCTCGCCCTCGTTCCTTTTTCAAACCTCGAAACCAAACAAGGGTTTTCTTTTCTTTCTTTTTATTTTTTTTCTTTAATTTCCCATTTCCTCCCTCCACTTCAGACTCCAATTTTCTCCTCTCCCAAATTCTTTCCTTCCTTGATTCTCACCAAAACCGTTTTTCCCTCTCATCTATTCAAATTTCCTGGAATTTGCAATTATGGAGCGTGTTTCAGAGAAGCCAAGCTGCAGGACCCTCTGTGTTCATCTTCTCCGGTACCCATGATTGTTTTTGGCTGAAAGTTGTTAACTTGGTTGCTGGGTTTTGGTAACCCAAGTGGTTGAAGAAGGGTGGGAGGAGGAATCGGAGTAATTGTTAAAAAAGTGGGGTTTAGGGTTTTTGGCGGGCTACGGAATTTGTGATTGAATTAGGGTTGTTGAGTGCATGAGAGGTAGAATTGTGCTGTGATGGATGTGGAGGAAACTGAGGAGTTTGTGTCTTTGGACACAGATTTGTTGCAGCTTCAGGAGGTGTCTCCTTTTGCACTGAAATCGAGTCATTGTGTTGTTGAGGAGCTATTCACGCAGTGGCTTTCGCTTCCGGATACTTGTCGCCTGGTACATATATACACACGTAGTTCATTTGAACTGAACCTCTTATGCTTTTCTATGAATCAATGAATGATTTTGGCTATTCACTTGACTAGTGGACATGGTGCAGAGATAGAGTTGTGTAGGGTTTTTTTACCAGCAAATTGAGTGTTTTTCTTTTGTTGCATGGGGGTTTTAGTTAGCCAAATTGAATTAAAATGTGACCGAAGATGTTAAAAATCCAAAACAACTGTGAAGATAGACAACTTTTGTAATGGTAAAATACTAATCCTGATAATTAAGTCAGTTAATTCCTAACGACTTATCGTTCCAATCGTGCTGGAGATTGTGAATCCCTTGAGTCACGTGATTGTAATTTAACCGTTTACATTCATTTACTCTTCTCTACATGCTCTTTAGTGAATAACTTGTTTGAGCATTCCTTTTCTTCCTTTTAAAGTAGCTTTTTAGTGTACAATACTAACCTAGAGTTCATTGCCACTTGGAAGAGATTTCTGATTCTCTGATCTTGAAACGTTACTATCCAGTTTGGCTTTTATAATTTAAACATAATAAATGACCCTTTCCATCTCCCGCCAAGTGCCTTGATGGAACTTTTAGAGTCCAATGACCTAACCATAGGAGAGGTGACCTCCATTCCAATGTCTTGAATTACAGTTCTTACAATCGACAGATTGTTATTTTGTGTTCAATTTAATCGCAATCTAAAAGAGGGTTCTAGTATAGGAATTATACAGCTCTCATGTTCATTGTCATCAAAATTGCATGCTGAGTCATAGAAATGTATGCTTTTATGCTTCAGTGGTGCCTGGATGTGTTTGCTGTGACATAAAATTCAGAAATGGGTAGAATTGCAGCACAGAATCGTAAACTTAGAAGAATTGTAGAGTTTCTTGATCTGCTTACTGTCAGGTTCAAAAGTGTTTTGCCGAATTTGGGCTTACACAAACCTAGGTCCATAAACGAGGTGCTCACTAACCCCAACAAGAAACCAATAAAAACCATTGCTTGTCTTCATCTTCGACCTTGTCTCCCAAAACATGACTCTGCTGCTTCTACCACTCTTCACTGTTTCATCTGGCTCTGTTATGTCAGGCTGCAGTTCTTCCCCTGGTTTGTCTGATTCACTTTTTCTGGTTTGTTTCTCTTTCTGTTTGCTATTTGTGGCTAAGGAGTTCGACAATGTCGATCTCTGGAATGATTATGATTTTAATTTGAATGATCTATATTTGAGGTCTAGGTGTTTCGTACTAGGAGTAGGCACTGCTTAAGTTGTTTTGTTCCGAGGTATGAGTTCCATATGAATTATTTATTGACTTTCTTATGCTTGTGATTGTGTATTTAAGCTTAATTGAAAGAATGTGTTTTAAAGGTATTTTTCTTAGTTATGTAAGTTTTGTAAATATGTATGGGTTTTATGAATCTTGGGAAATGTTATGCACGGTGATACATTCCACCATTTTATTCTGTTTCCCCTATGTTTGAGCAGACTCTTGAATTTGTCTACCTTGCTTTTGGTGATGTGCTTTCATTTCTAGATCATACAATGAAGATTTGTAATGTTGTGGTTCTATTGACACTTTGTAGCTTGGCAGTCGTAGTTTATCATTTATAAGTCATCTTAAGCACTAGCTTTTACTGAATCTCTCTTTTATTTTAACAAACGTGAAAAGATAATGTTATTATGAGATTTTTGAAGTGATGTTGATGTCTTGGTTTTATGCCAGTTGTGTCCAATCGGGTGCATTTACTGCCATAATTTGATAATAGAATTAATTTAAATTGAATTATTCAAACGTTGCTAAAATATTAAGTTTTTATTGGGAGTTCATCTGGCCATTTGAGGAGGGTGCTATTCATACTTTCAGTTAAATTTAGATTTTTTAGGGACATGACACATTAAAAGGAAGTTTGTGTCTTACCCTGTAGAAACATCACAAAATAATATTTATGAGCAATAACTAGAGTTGCTAAAGGAGGACGACCTGTGTCAATAACAATATGTTGAAAAATAAGTGTGTGTTTAGTTGTACCTTTGATTTTAAAAACTATTTTATAAAACAGCTTTCATAGAGTTCATAGAGTAGAAGTAGGGACAATGTAGAAGTACACGAAAGAACGAAAACTAAATCAACTTAGAGATGCTGTTATAAAAACTTACAAAG